AGTAGTATTTTTTTTCATGTTAGAATTCAAAAGGGCAATGTCATTATATGATTAAAGTTCCTAACGAAATATATATATATTTTTTTTCTACTAGTAACATATGTTTAATGAGGTAGTCATTTTCCGTCACATTTAATTATGATCAATATTAATTCATGCATGTTTTGTCTGACAAAAAAAAAAAAGTTCTACTTATACATTTGACTAACACCTGTGTATTGTGATATCGTTAAATGGATATTTATCATTGATGTGATGAACAACATTTATATTTTATCTATATCTATTCTAGTCAAGTATGCGTCCATAAATATCTATATGTATATCTCTGCATGATTGCTTCCAGTAATTTACAACATTTATCCAAGAGAAAAAGGCTATGCCGATATGCATATGCATTGTTTGTTGATACACATGTAAAGAACGATAGAAAGATATGCACGAGATGAGAGACATTGTTTTTGTTATAAATAATCAAGCCAATAGCTTATCTACTTGTTTCGATAATAAAATGACAGTCAATATAGAAGTTCTTTTCCGCCACCTACTACTTACCCTCGTTTTCCTGTCGTCTTCTTCTTTTTTTTTTTTTGATTCTTGTTATTGTCACAAACAAATGATGATGACGATTTATTGAAAACGCTTGGGTACTCAAGTATACGATGTAGTCAGACAGCAATAAAGTGACTTCTTCTTTACGTTCTCTCTTCAATAGATATTTAACATCTATTCTTTGCTAGTTTTTTTTTTTATTACATCTCGTTCTTCGTTCTTTATATTTTTATATGTTTCATTAAAAAGAGAACATATAAAATAACGAGAAGAGAAGAGGATACCTTGAAAAATGAATGAATAGGGCTGTGTATTTCAAGCTTGTCTCAATCAATCAGAGCCGTTCGTGTATTCATACTATAAAGGTATGAACATGAATAGCCATCGAGTTTTGTCAACATCAGACGTGTGTGTATGTGTCATTAAATGTTTGTATCGTTTATTTATGTCTGCCGGTCACTGTGAACGAGCGAAAAAGAACAATTAATTGGTCTCTAGTATGCGAGAAAGAAAAAAAAAGAGACCCTAGAATGTTAAACAAATAAAGAGACTGTCAACGTTCGATGATAATCACAATGAACAACGACGAATTACTGATTAACTCAATGAATATGGAACAAAAGAAGACATTCCAAAGGGACCCTAGCTCAATAAGAAATCCTAATCAATGCAAATGAATGCATCGTCAATAGAATGGGATTAGAGCCAAAAAAAAAAGAAAATATATTATCATTATAAAATGCTAGTGAATGTCTTTAAATCAGATATAATCGATTCATCGCAAGACTTCTTCAGTTTTTTTTTCTTCAAAATTGACATATCTTTTCTGCATGAATAAACTTATTTAGTATTAGAAGACGAGTGTTTTAGTTAGTTTCAAGGTTATTTTTTATGTAATATCATAGTTTTGATGTATTTCTAATAATAGTTTCATTTCAAAAGAAATACTTATTGTATAATAAAAAAGAAAAAGAGATATTTGATACAATGAATGATATTTCTATTGGTTATATGATATTACTATTGAATATTCTACTTACTAAGTATACGTATTCATAAAAAAAAGGATTTATTATTGATTGCATTTTCAAGTTTTTGTGTTTTTTCTTTCAATCAATAGAATTCGATAGACTATTGTTTGATAATTCAAGCATGAAACTAATAAAAAATAATTGAATAGAATATGATTTCATTGATATATTTCTTAGTTCGATTCATTAAAAATTTGCATCTTTCATTTAAACGGAATAGCATATAATTATTTGTTTAAATTCAAAGAAATGAATAGATTCATTTTCAAACTTTGTTCTTTTATCAAGCATTTTGTATTGATCTTTGCGAATGATTTTGTCAGTTTTTCTCTTACTTATTTAAATCAATGATTAAAATAGTTCTTTTTTTTTTAGAGTTATGCCAATAACAGCACATCCAGCATTTAACAAAGTATGTTAATTTATATTTATGATTGTTAATTTTATACAAAAAAATAAAATCGATTTTAGGCCTGTTGTTATTTTAAAATAAAATTAAAACGTATTCCATTAAATCCACAAACACATGAAGTTGATCTTTATAAAATGCGTCAAGCCATAACTAAAAATACATGCATGGTATAGAAAATAAAAATTCTATCAATTTAAAATGAATCATTCTGAATTTTTAGCTTGTTGGTTCCGCACCGAATTTTCCACATGGTGTTATTGATCCAATTGAAGATATTTCAAAAGTTTTTATGTTCATTTTTTTTTTTTGTGCTTGTTTTACAATGAATTTATTTTTGTTATATTTAGATTGCTATGGAATATAATATTCCATTACATGTTGATGCTTGTTTAGGTGGTTTTCTTATTGCTTTTATGGATCAAGCTGGTTTTCCATTAAAATTATTTGATTTTCGTTTATCAGGTGTAATGAGTATTAGTTGTGATACACATAAAGTAAATCTTCATTTATTTTTTCATTTATTGAACAATAAAAGAAATTTTTTTTAGTATGGTTTTACACCAAAAGGTACTTCAGTGATTCTATATCGAAATGCAGAACTTCGTCAACACCAATTTTTTGCTCTTGCTGATTGGCCAGGTGGTATTTATGGTTCACCAACAGTTGCTGGTAGTCGTTCGGGTTATTTAATTGCTTGTTGTTGGGCTACACTTATGTATTATGGTCTTGATGGATATGTTGAAGAAACACGAAAAATTATACAAACAGCACGAAATATAGCTGATGGTTGGAGTAAAATTGATGGTCTTTATCTTTTACATCAACCAGATGTAAGTGTTGTGGCAATTAGTTCAAATAAATTTAATATTTATTATTTATTTGATGGTCTACATGAAAAAGGATGGCATTTAATTGGTTTACAAAATCCACCAGGGTATTTAAAAAGAAAATTGAAAACGATTTTTTTATTCTTTTTCTTTGAATACTTCTTATTAATTTAAGTATTCATATTGCTGTTACACAAGTTCATACTCAACCGGGTATTGTTGAAAAACTTCTTGAAGATACACAACAATGTGTTGATGAAATTTTAAAATCCAATAATAAAACAGATACAGTAACAGTAAGTATTGAACTAGAATATAGATATTCTACAGGTTAGGGTATGAAAGCAGTTTACCCTGTACATTTCTAATTTCTATCTCTAGATAGTTTGATTTGATATGATCAGTATCCGAAAAAAAAATACCCACATAGGTTTATCTAATAAAAGCAGAAAAGTACATACGCTTGTCCGGTAATTGATCAATCTGAAATCTGTACCACTACCAGTTCCATCTCTGTTGTAATGTTCTATTGTCACAATAAAAACAAATGGCTCAAGTATTCGATCTTAAAGAATAGTTTATGTTTTATTTTAGGCTGTGATCTATGGTACAAATCAAAAAATACCTGATAAATCTCTCATCTGTGATATGACTAAATTATACATAAGTTCATGGTATGAAACAAATTTAAATACAGTAATAGATGGTTAAATAACAAGTCTCAACAATAAGAAATTGTTTTAAAACATTCGACGTAGTGAACAAACAGTTTTTTTTCATGTAACAGTGTTCCTTTCTTTAAAAAAAAAATTTGTTGTTTTTCTGTCACACTATATCTGTGATAAATAGTATCAATTGGTTGAAATAATTAATGATTATTAATTGTTTCTTATTATAGATAATCATATAATACAGAGATGGTTGTTTGTATCAACTATGATCAATTTCTTTTTACTCTGTTCGAAGTTTTAGTCGATAATCATGAAACATAAAAGACAAGTTTCGATTTTGACCAAAAATAAATTTTTACTTTTTTGACTTATTCTAATTGATTTTGAGATCTATCTTTCTTTTTAGAGAAGACCTAAGAATAATTTCGAACAGGGCATTCAAAAATGATCATAACTGACATGAAGAGTATTGAGAATTAGCACACTTTTAACGATTCTTCAATAACGAAACTTGATCACGAGCAAACAATAATTTTAAGTTTTTATACAAGACGTACATATTATTTCATAGTGTATTATTCAACGACACGCATACTATAAATAAATTGTGTTAATAGAGTTTAGTTACAAAATCGAAAACTAATGATCCTCATGAATTTAGATCTGAAACACAGTGCGTACAATTACAATTTATTATTTAAAATCATAAATAATAAAATTTAACAATAATGTTCATTATTATCAATGAATTCAATTTTATATTGAAATATACTTCTGATATGTCGATACTATGAATAAATCAATTTATTCAAGCTATATGTCAGATGATAAAAAAAACTGATTCTTTTTTAAATTACAATATATAAATAATTATTTTGAATATTAACGAGTGGGCCATAATAAATGTTCCACTTTTGCATTTCATTTTTTCACAATTTAATACGTTGTATTAAAAAAAAACAAAATATATCGTAAGATGCAGTGTGAAAAGCTCTACAATTTACATAAGATCACTTTTTTATAGTTGCGCTTTTTACTTTAAAAGTGGTCAAAATTTTAAAACGATCAAATTTCGACTATGCAAAAATTGATCGCAGAGAATTTTGATTTTTTTTTGCGAAACGATTACCATAAGCTGTCTCGTGTAAAATGTAGAGATTTTTTCGCTGCATCTAGTAATATATTTTGTTGTTTTTTCTACATAAAAGATATCAGGTGATAAAAAGATGAAATAAGAAAAAACGAATTCATATTTTACTAAAAAAAATATCGTTTTCGCACGATCAAAATTTAATCGCTCCAAATTTTGTCGATTTTGAAAGCAAAAAGTGCAACTTTAGGAAAAGCTGTCTTGTATAAATTGTAGAACATTTTGCGCTACATCTTATGATACATTTTGCTTTTTTTTAATACAACGTATTAAATTGTGAAAAAATGAAATGTAAAAGTGGGATATTTATTATGGCCCACCCGATATTTAAAAAATACGTTAAAATTAATAATAGATTTAAGAATCAAGTGTTGAAACAGGTGTCCGTAGAATAAAATCAAACAATGAACATCGTCTATGTCCATTACAATATAGATCAAGATAACGATATAAATCTCGTACTTTAGCACGTTGACCTATCAAATAATCATATACTTTGTAGAAGGATTCGATTACATTCTTATCACCATAAGCTGCATATATCAATGGACGTACAGCCTCAGAAGCAGCTATTAATTGGATAATTGCTAAAAATATATAGATAGGAAATAAAAAGGTGAAGGAAAAAGATAATAAGATTATACCTTTTAGTTGTTTATCACCATTGAATACACCACAACCCCAATTTCCAGTTGCAATAGGAAATGCATGATCCGATGTTTGTCCTTGAGTATGAAAACCAGCAAAAGCTTTGATTAAGTCACGTTTTACATATTTCATATTGTATTGTGCTGATCTATCACGAAAATAGACAGCATCAATAGCTACTAGATGAGACCATTTTCTTCCCCAATTATCTCTAAATGTGTGAATCATTAAAAAAATATTTATTTACAATAAAAAAAAAAAACTATGTTTTAGGAAAATTTTCTTAACTATATTCTTCTAACTTTCATATTCCTTGTGTGCAAGTAGTAGTTAATGTTCTAAATAAAAACTCTAAAAAAAGATTCGATAAAGCTATTGAGTTTTTAATATGTCTATTATTTAGAGATTTGAGAAGCCTTACATTGTTAACGAATTGCATTTTCGATATATGAACTTTTATAACGATATTTCACAATAGAGAAACGATTGAACCCTGTAATCTGGGTAGGATGTATGTGTAGGCTTGCACTTATCGAATTCTTCAGAAACCTTACATTGATGAGAAATAGATGAATTAAAAATCCAACAGCTTTGATATATCTCAATAAGAATGCAATTTGTAATATGGTTTTTACTATATGTATTATTTATAGATAACTAGGAAAATTCACATAAATAATCATACGTGTCTTACTTAGGTTTGTTATCGATATAATCCCCATCATATTGAAATGTTTTTGAATAACCTTTATACGATGAATATCGTTCACAACCAATTAGATAGATACATTCATTCGGTTCTAATGCTTCACAGACAAGTAAACTAAGAAGCATTTCAGGACAAGTAATAAATCTTATTTCTTCTTGAATACAGCCTGAAGTTAATACACCACCACCCTATTCAATAATATATTTTCATTACAAAATCTTATGATTAAATTTTATTACTTACAATATATCTATTAGCAAAATCAATCTAAATAAAAGGACTATATGATAAACTATAGAAAAAGAAAGTTGATGTATTTACTTGTAAAACACAATCAATATCTTCTATCTTTTGAGCTGTTGTTAAATGCATAGGAATGAGACCTTTTGTTGATTTAGACCATTTTGGTACATATGTATCAGATAATTCATATCGTCGAAAAGTAATTACACCATTAGGCACTAAATAAAAAAAATTTATTTAAGAAAAACACATCCTTAAAGATCTACTTTGTCTCGTAATACGTTCAAAATAATGTAAAATACATTTTAATTTTTCAATTTTTTCTATAGGTCCACGTTGATATAATCTTGAAAATTGAATTTATCAGAAATTGTATCAGAAATCATCAAAAAAAAAAAAACGAAAACCATAGTTACGTATTAAAATTTGGATTTTGAAAACTTTCATATTCTTTCTTTACTTTTGGACTAGAACGATATGGAAATAAACAAAAAAATGCACATGCTAACAATGAAGCAGCTTGTCGTTGTGACATTGTTACGGCACGTTTTGATTTAATACGTAATAAAGGTGGTGGCTATTTCAAGAATATTTAAGTGAAAATTTTGAGAATAAAACAAAAATAAATAACAATACTCGACTACATATAAGATCGACATTTAATACAAGTGAACAAAGATTTGAAAGAACAATAGACATGAAATATAAACGTTGTTCATTTGAATAAATCTTTAAGAAATATTATTAGTAAACTTTTTTTTTTTTTTGATAATTTTACAAACTTACTTCATTAATGAGATGTTCGAGACAATCCATATTATAATGACGTTCAGCACAATTTTCAATTATTCTCTATTATGATTAATACAAACAGATTTTATTTCGATTTTTTTCCCGTAATAGTAACTTGTATTAAGAATTTAACTTATGTCTTTTATAGAAAATATTGTTTTCAACAAGGCTATAGAGAAAATGATTTTCTATAAAATGCTATGTCTTCAAACTTTCCACAACATTTGACGATTAACTTATATAAATATTAAGAAAAAGCTCATTTTTGACTAGTTATTCATTAGCAAATGCAGAAACAATCATTTTTGGACAATTCTTAATATTGGTTTTGTTCCTTCAAAAGATCTCAAAGACGTATCATTCTGTAGAGAATTACTTGCTTTATCTTTCCATGTAATCAAAATAATCTTTTACTTTCAGATCTCGGATACTGGTAAATCAGATTCTTGAACTTTCTATGAATTCCGGTTTTAGGGAGTACTATAAAAGTTTTTATTTTTCTCTCATTTCCTTACTGAAAATCATATTCTTTATTCAAACTAATATTTGAATTTTATATGTAAGTTACGATTAACGTAAAAAAATTGAAACTAAATCTGTATGTTCAATATTTGAAACCATGATATTAAAATAAAGATAGAAAAATTTTAAAATAATTACTTTTAAATCTTCTACAGTTGCTGTATGATTATCACATTTTCGTTTAAGATAACATAATAATTGACAAATGATAGGCCATCGTAAATGTCCATCTTTCTTTTATAAAGAAAAGAATCTTATAATATAAATAATGAGTTTTTTTTTTAAACTCACTGTAGTATAAGATATTGAACATGGCATACGAACATGATGTTCATTCCATGCATCAATATAACGATTATCTTCATTGATTGGTACAGGTTCACGATTAGGATTAGATGCATTATATTTAAATGGCTAGTTAATAGTGAAAAAATTTTTGTTACATTTCGTTTTATAGCAATTATTTTTACTTTGATCATAAATATCCAATTATTAGATGGATTATCTGACATATCTTTGATATAAGGAGGTTGAGGGCATATATTGAGAAGAACTTCTAATGGAGGGCCCTAGAATAAAATATTTGACAAGAGAAAAATACTTTGAAAGTTTACCTTGATTGTTCTATGACCAACTCCATTTCTTCTACAATCTTCATCATAAATGTCAAGACCTAAATAATCGATCTTATAAAATCCGTATAAAAATTTTTAATATAAAACAGTCATTAGCAATTTCAATATGAAACACGAGACGATCTATCAATTTCGACTATCCTGGTCTTTGACATTTCCATGGTAATATCTGATATGATCCGGTGAGTGCAAATTTCTACCCTATATACTTCAACATTCCTTTTAGATCATATTCCATAAAAAATGGGAATAATGTAAATATTAAAGACATTATAACATCTCAAAAATTTACTTTTGTTTTGATTTCGATATAGTTATTCAAACTCAACTTACTGCCATCCATGCTTTCGTCGTTAGATTCATGTTTGTTATTTCTTGATAATGATCGTCTAGCCATATTGTAATAATACTTTGTTTTGTTTTTTAGATATAGACTTGAACAATGTTTATGATTAGACTAGATCCTATCAATTGTTTGACAATACACATAAATGTAATAATTGTATTGTTTACTTGAAGGAATTCAAAAAAAAAAATGAAAAGAACACGTTGATATTTAAACTGACGTAAAGCAAAAGTGTTTCTTCCGTGCTCTAAGTCAACAACTCTTTCTTTTTCTTCTTACATCGATGAATTCGTTTTTTTTTGCATATCTTTGACTCGTGAAGTTATATTTGTGGTAGGAAGAAAAAAAAAGCCTCGAAATTCATATCACATGGACAGGTGAAGAGGAGACAATATGTAAATTTTTTTTTTCCATAAAAAAATTAATGACTCCTGACGATGAAATATACAGATTTATGAATATGTATATATTAAGAGAGAAGGAAGTTGTTGAAAATTGTAATTGAAGAAATAGTATAAAAAAATTCAAGGATTTATCATTGAAATAGAATTATTGTATTCCAATTATGTCCATAATTTTTGATTAAAAAAAATTTTGAGTACACTTGATATATTTTTTATGAAAAATATACTAATTGAAAATTCAATTTTTTGAGAAATTAACTAATTAATGAGAGTCTTCTATTGTGTTAAGTCTACTAGAAAAGCTATAAAACTCAAAAAACGCTGATCACTTGAGAGATGCCTCTTCTTTTCTTTGAACTAGTATGTAGTCGATTTTGGTTAGCCAACAACAGTTTAAGCCAAAAGTTAAATCATTTTCGAAATCAGCATTAAAAAACTGAATCGATCGATATATACTTGAAATGTGGCTGAGATTTTTATTTTATTCCTCGAAAATTGCATCCATTCTCTCCCGTCACGAGTGTATCGAAATACGATGTCTGTCAAGATGGTGTTTTTGTCCTTGATTCATGTACCGTTTCGCTTATAATAGTATTTTAGAAGGTGTCCTTCTTCGATCTAAAGAACAAATGACACTTTTTGGCAGACATCATTTTTCGACTTCAATTTGTATTTCTTATAAGTTGAATTTGTTTGTTTTATTCTATGTGATTGATCTTAATTGAATAAAATTATTTATCATATTAAGTTCATCTTTTGGAAATAAAATACTGAATTCGAACAAAAATATTATTTATTTGATCAGTTTTTCAATGAATTTGATTAAAATAAACCATGAAAGAGAGCCATGTTACTAATGTTAAAGACAGTCTCGACAAGAGTCGTTAAACAAGTAAGACAAGTGTCGTGAAACGTTTTGAGACGATTTTTGCCCAATTAGAAAGCTAAGTTGGTTTCATATGAAACTTTGAGCAATTGTAGATCCCAGATTTACTAGTCATTCATTCAGATGAGCTTCAGCTTGACTAGTCAAACATTTGTTTTTCTTTCGGACTCAGTTAAGTATGGTCTCTTGTAATTTTTAACATAAAGGATATTTCACTTTAAAAAGAATATTGGCATAGTGCGCTAGCCGGTTTATATAGCATTCGATTGAAAGAATTTAATTCTGAACAAAAGTGTACAAAGGGTTTACAGTAAATATCGAAAAAATGATAAGAAAGAGTTTCGAAGAACGTTAGACATGCATGACCATTCTGTCTGAAATACTGTCGAGACTTAAATGCAATTGAAGCTCGCTGCTGTAATTAGAGGACATCAGTTTATTCCGTTTTTTTTGGCATTCATTTGAAGAATATGTGCAAAGTCAAAGATATTCTAATGTATTAACACTGTTTTTCAGTGAATTCTTCATTGCATAAATTCAATCACTGCGTAAAATATCAAATACAAACATTAATCAAAACTGGTGAAAATATATGTGTGTTTTAATGTTGACTTTGAGAAAAAGTAGTCTAATAAATTGACAAAAAGAGCAAAGCGAAAAAATTCGCAAATTTTAAAAAAGATGTTCCAATTCAATAATTTCAACGTCAAGATCCGCGAATTTCTAGCGGGAACCTGCAGAAAAGAGACCGTTTCCGACCGGGAAACTGTAGAAAATGCTAGAACTTTAAAGGTAAGAAACCAGTGATCTTATCCAGTTACGACCGACATCGTTCGTACCTAATTCATCTGAGGCGTTTTTCATGAAAAGCGACATCTTTCAAGTCCTTGTTTTTCTTCGGTTTGAAAGGAATTTTCAATAAATTGAAGTTTGAATAGTTGCACCTTACGTACGCACACACTAGTAGTTTCGTGTTGACCTTTATTTAAGTACAAGAGAGAAGAAAAAAGTATAGGCTAATGCAAATTCATGATCATGAATCAATAAAAAGTGAATAGTAGTTATAAGAATTTCAAAAAAAAAAAGAATAAAAAAGCATACTATGTGATACTGATATTACAGACAAGTGCAGAGAGTCATCAAAGAAAAAAAAATGTCATTATGAATGTAACTGTTGTTTCTATGTTTGATTTATCCAGAACTTGAATATGTACCATTATTTGTATCAAATGTCAGTATTAATGTTGGAGTATTTGTTGTTGATGTACCATATGGAACAGTTGCCAAATTGACAGAATATGTTATACTTGGCCCATTTCCAGAACCTTTATTAGAAAGAAAAAGAAATCAAACGATAATGCATAAAAATCATGTCAAAATACAATTACTCTGAACACCAATTGTAGCTGAAGCACCTCCATCAGACGCTTGATAATACAAATAGCTAACAATATAGGGTGAAGCTTCGTAGAATACAATTTGAAAGTGAAAATATCGGGTTGACGAGCTAAAATGAGCTGTGTAAAACTCGAAGACTAAACTTCGATTAGGATATGTGCCTGTTGCAGCATAGTAGACGGTTTGAGATGTTCCTGCATATATATAAAGATCATCCCAAAGACCAAAAGCTGTTGGTCCGCTGAAACTACTACTTGGTAAAGCTGTATTTGAGTATGCAGAAGAACAACCTCCAAGACAGACACACTAGAAATATATCATTCAATTAAAGACTGTAGATTACGATAATTCAATCGATTTTCATATACTCTGTCCCATTCGCTACACTCTATATTAATCACAACAATTATTTTAATAAAATATTCATAACTTCATATGAGAGAGTTATTATCGAACTTTTATACTAATCAATTGATTTAAGTTCGTCAAGCAGTTTGAATAGACTCCGAAAAAGATATATGTCGCACATGAGTAATTGATCCGTTTATTATGAGATCTATTGATTCTGGGGACCAATGCTATATGTCATAGTCAGATGCTTTTGTTAATTATCAGGTCATTTATGTCTGAGACATTGGTTGTGATTATTTTCTTAGTAATTAAGTACTAGTCTTATCATTATCAATAAACTCATAAAGGTTAATTTTACTGATAGATAACGGTAACTGATCTGATCTAGTCAAAGATTTTCAAATAGGTGGATCTATCTCTACTAATGCTTTATTTCTTATTAAAAAGACATTTCTTTCATTTAGAGAGATCTTCATTCAAGTTCAGTTCAGTATTAATCTATGCAGAATATATAGATCTGATAATTGTTACTCAATCGAAAAGTAACAAATGTCAAAATGTATTAAAGTAAAAGTTCGAATCTACGTTTTCTCTAGAAAACATCAGATAACTTATCTCTAAAGGAAATTTCTACAATAGAACAGATTTAATTATGTAGAAAATATGCAAAGCAACATTACGCACTAAAATAAAATTTGTCACTAGTGTCTATGCTGCACATTGAATGTGATTAGAAGTAGGATGTGTCCTTATCTATTTTTCCAAGCATTCGCTTATTTTTTTTTGTTTTGTACATGTAGTCTAGAGAAAAATTTCTGAACACGTTTTTCAAATTGAACTCTTATTTTCTAAATAAAAATTACAGTCTGAATCAAAATGATAATATTTCTCGGTAATTCTAAATTATTATTTGTCTACAAATTGAAATACTTTAAAAAGATCAATCATAAGAGTACTTACGCCATTACTTTGAACCGATGCACTCGGCGTAGAATATCCATACAATGATATGCTGAAAGGTAGACTGAGGGTTAAATATGCATCATCAATGGAAGTTGAACCACCCCAACCAGAAACAGCAACAGCACCTGTAAGTTGTACAGCAGGAGCACCACTACAAGCGCCATTCGAACAACTTGTATATGTTGAAGCACATACGTAACCAATTGAACCACAATTATTGAAATCGATCAAAAGATTGACACATGAGCCCGATAGTGTTCGAACATATCCAGTAGGACATGGGGCTGTTGCTACAAATTATATGATTTTTTTTCATTGTATTTTGCATTAAAAAGTCAAATGCTTGAGAAATATATTTACTTGTAATGACTGTCGTACCAGTTGTACCTGTAGTAATTATTGTTGAAGCTACTGTGGCACCGGTAGTTGTGGATTCTTCTATAATAGGCAAAGCAATACATAGAAAGTGTACTATTTGAAAAGATTCACCTAACATGAAGTTATAGAATCGTTTTGGTATAGCATTTAGGATAATATAAGAATCTCTCGCACCTGAGACAATAGCCTTTCTTATCCGTCTTGATCGATGTATTTTTCCTCACCTTTATAGTCTTGATTCGGAAACATACTTTATGTAGATATTTCAAGCAAAATTGTATATGAAAATCAGCATAGAAAAAATGTCAGGTAGGAGAAAGTAAATTGTAGAAGATTAGTTTGAATGATTTAGAGTAGGAAGAAATATTTTAGAGAAATGCTTTAATAGATGAACTGTATTGAAATGCAGACAATGTTAGAAGTTTAGAGAAAGCATTTTATACTATAATGGATGGTGTGAAAAGTAAAACATAGAAATATCAAGGAAAGAGAAGTGTGCTGACTGACATGCTAGTCGAGAGAGAATCGATGGAACCTTGAAGACGTCTTGGATTCCAAGAGGTTTCCTGGTTTTTTTGTTGTTTTCTAGAGAACTTCTTATTTTTTTTTCAGTGGTAAACGATCAGAAGGCACTGGAAAAAGTCGGAGATATCTCAGTATAGAATACTGTTTCCAAGGTCCATAAATTTTAGAAGTATTCTTGACAGATTCCGTAATTTTCTCAAACCTTGTGGGCCAATTTCAACAAGGTACACATGTTTGCGGAGTCGCAAATCATTGACTCTCAAAGTTGACTATGATTTATCAAAGTTCTTGAGATTTCGACAAGTATTTCCAATAAAATCTGCTGCTTTGTTCTTGTATTTCTAGTCTTACTCAATTCTTTTTCAATTAAAGCACTTTTTTCTTGAACACAACTACCGAAAAATTACTAGATACATAGCTATTATTAGTTTTAGTGTAATGGAATATCATGAATGATATCTGAACATCTCTATCTGAGCAGATCTTTGAGTAATTTTATACATTGTGCAGATATTTCTATTTAGTTTCAAGACGTTGAGAAAACCTTCTACGAGTTCTCCTTTGACTTATGTTTGGTTTTAATGAAAGCTAAAATTTTTAGTCATTGTCATAATTATTAACACTGTCAATCATTATCATTTCATTATGCCCCGTAGGCTTATCGCCCGTTGAAGCCAACCACTGTACGGATTAGTTTCTTCCATATCTGTCGATTTTGCGCTATGTGGAACAAACACTATCAATACGAATAAAGAAACCATTGTCAAGCACTTAACCATGAATTAAGCATTCGAAATGGAACTAATATTATATATTTATATTATTGATTACTTTAGCCGTCAAAACTTGTGTACTGATGCTTTGAAAAATGACAACACATTTCATAATCATATTTATATTCACTAGAATTCTGAAGATGATATGTTGTTGGCGTTGTTGAATTTATATTGAGCTTTTTCCAATAAACAAATAAAAACAATAATTTTTTTTCTCTAATTAATAGATAGAATCTATTCTTTTTACAAGATACTATTTAATCATGTTTTGTCTCTGACCAATGAAGGTGATGAAGTTTTTTTCTTCAATAACTAAACATCATCATTATCTTTATTTCCAGTGTATAGAGAAATAAGGAAAATGATATGCCAGCTGCTACTAAAAAAATTATCAAACGAATTAAAATAAAATACTGACTCTTTAAATTGAAATAAACAGTTGGAACAGTAACTGCTGTCACCACAACTACCAACGCTGTCGCGATAAGTATAACTTTGGCATATATTGGTAACGTTACCCCTTGTGGAGCTCTAGCACAAAAAATTTCTTCACATAAGATGAAAGAACAAAAGGACTAAAAAAGACATACACAACTGTTGAAGCTGTAGGAATCGATTCTAAATCCAACTTGACATTTCGAGGAATTGTTGGATTAGTTAAGTTTTGACTCCGATTTAAACAGATCTATAAACGACGGGCTACATTATTATTCAAATTACTTGACGAAGTTAAGTTAGCCTAATAAAAAATATTTTAATTTTGATATTTAAAAATATAATAAGAATTTCAATAAAGAGTACTTGATTATCATTTGGAATGTCTAACAGAGGGATATATCTTGCAACTGAGTCGCCCATTTTGTCTTGCTATTTTTTGTTGTTTATTCGAATCATCTAACAGTAGACTCTTTTACATTGCTTATACAATGTCGTTCGCACTGCAAAAAATATTTTAGCGAGAAGAATCATAATCTCATTTACATCAGAAGACGAATATTTACTTTTACTACAAAATGAAAGAAAAAACAGTCGCACAAGTTGCTTCTTCTCTTGCGATGGTACAAAAAAATATGACCACTTGAACGAGTGTAATTTCATGCTATTGATGCACTGAGAATATAGAAAGGATACGTCCATTAAAAAAGTACATTCTTTTTCTTGAAGTATAGTTCTCTGAATGAGGGCATGTTCGACTGTAAATAATACTGCTTTCAATGGTTGAAAAACATCATTCTATTCTTTTTGCTTTGATATTGCCAAAGAAACAAATGATAAGGAAACACTCTCCAAATAAAGTTTGTTATAAAGGAAAACGGATAATCGCAATCTAAATAGATCAAGTTTGAGATGTAAGCTGAGCAGGTGCTCCACAGCCAAGTTTTTTTGGAATACTTCTCAGCTTTACTGTCAGTGGCTACAACAACTGTTTAAATTCTCAATTGTCAAAGCCAATGCTCAGCTAGTCCAACCCTACCGGCTACGAAAACCAAAAAATAGATCGAAGGTATTCAGTTGCTGTGAAGGGTGTGGGTGGGTGTGGGTGTGGGTGAGTGTGGGTGTGGGTGTGGATGCGGGTACCGGTCTTCTCTTTACCCACACCCACACCCATACTCACACCCTTACTAACTGACTTCTCTTTATCATCTACAATCTTTCATTATCGTTATCTTTATCTTTATTCTTCTTTTTAATTTAAGATATCCCTGGTTCACATATGTACGATGACGTCAATCCTTACTTTTTGTGAAACACGATCTGAAAGGAGTGCTGAAGTATATAGGGTAGAAATTTGCACCCACTACCACCCCCCCCCCCCCCCCCCCCCTCCCCTCCACAGACATGACAGACATTCTTAGCAACGAGATATCACAGACGTGACAGACACGTAAAAAACGGCTTGTCACAGACGTGACAGACAGCCTTATACAAGCCACAGACTGTGATAGAAGACTTTAAGCAACTATCAGATAATGTATAACTAACATATGATTAGAGCATATATGGAATATTATCCTGTTTGAATTATATAATGTAAAGTAATCCATGGTGAAGAAATATACCCCAACGTATATTGAAAAGAACAGTTTTTAAAAGATTTGAAACAGCAGTTATATCGTGTTTCACATTTTTAATCCCGCATGGGATTGCGCTAACAGTTTTTTTTCCTAGTTCTCCTTGTTTTCATCGTCTTATATCTGATTGTTAGGGTATGGATTGAAAAAAAAAGGGATCATAAATATTGATTTTTGTTATTGAAACTGATCATAGACATTCAAATGAAACAAATATGATTGTGAATGGCCATTTGATATCATGAGCCAACATCAATATTACATTTGATCTATCTATTATCTATTCACTATTCATCTCTTATTCACTATTCATCTCTTATTCACTCATAGTTGCTATCGTTTCTCTTCTTTCTTTCAATAAATCATGATATTATTATCATGAATTGTTCTTTAGAGTTTTCTTCGTTGATGAAGCCACATGGTTTCCATAATGATATAAACATATGCAATTCTCTTGTATGATTAGCTTTCCAGTAAGCTTCGATCCATATGAAACTAGTTACAGGCGACAATACAGCATGCTTTCTTAGATAATGCTGATCATGACACTTGTCTCGTATTGTTTTTTCATATTTTATATTTCAATCATCAAAATGTAATTGACAAGCAAACTACAATTCAAAGAAAAAAGCATCGTCTCTGTGTTATTTGATAACTAATCATTCTATTTTACAATACAAAAATTATAACTATTAATAAAAGATGAAAAAAAAAAACAAAGTTTATGAATAAAATTATGTTGAATTTATTGTTGGTACAACATCAAAACTAGAAATAGAATAACCATTTCGAATATTTCTTAAACGAAGTGTTACTATTGATGGAACAGCTGTTACATTTATTTTAAATTGAAACGATGGTGCTGGTTTAAATACTGCCGTATTTCCTGTTGATGGTGTTTGTACTTGAATAAAATTTGCATTATTAATCGCTGCCTCTAATATACCTGAGCTACCACCAACATAAACAGTTATATTAATTGCTATTGGTGATTGATTAACTAGTAGTGGATAATAAAATGTTGAATTTGAACCTAAATATCTTAAATATGGATCTGTATACGGTTCACGATGATTCATAAAATTGGTAGCGTTCACATTATAAGATGGTATAGGTATGCCAAATGTGGTCTGTATTGAACTTTGATGAACTTGATCGATAGCTTTTAATTTTGGTGATGGTCGTGGAAGTTGTGCAACACGTGATGATGAATTAAACATTGTTGTTGTATCGATTAATGTTTCTTGTCTCATATCTTCTAGTAAATTCCATGAACCATACGCTGTTATCGAAGATGCTCCAGTAACCCACCAATTCAATGGTTGAAATCCATATCGATACCAACCATTTAAAAATGATACACACAAATCAGTCATACGATTATCACGTGTAGCATTGATTTTAGCTGATAATGAACAACTTCCACAACCTGCAACTGTATCTGGACCTCCTTCATAACCATGAACAGCTAATCCATACCAAGCAGCATAAACAGCATGTACACCAACTGGTGCTTGTTGACTCCAACCTTGTTCAGGTAAAAATGTTTGCATACTAGAATTAAGTCCTTCAATAACTTGATCAGTTGTTAAATTTGACCATGTTTTATATTGTGCTAAAGTAAAATAAGGAGCAATAGCAATACCATGAAGAAATGTTGATGGTGGACCATAAACTTTATTTAAATAATCTAAACCTTGTGTAAGTATTGTTGGATTTACACATTGACCAGCTAAAATTGGTCG